ATGTCGGGGGCGCTTAACGCGCGCGGGTGAGGGGGGCTTGCCCCTATTGCCCCTAGCCCTGGCGAAAGAAAGAAAGAGAGAGAGAGAGCGCCTAAGGGCCTAAACTCTCACTCCTAGAGTCCTGGAATGTCCTAGAGACCAGGTCTCCCGCCGGATGTGCGCGAGACGCTTGGCCTCGTGGAGGAGGGCTCCAGAAAGCCAAGCCATCTTTCTCCACTTCCAGTCCCACCAATCGATTCTAGGTCTGAAAGACGTATTTGAGCCACACCGCTCCTGGGAGCATTAGGGCTTGGTGAGCAGCGGTGCTACTCAACACACCGTTTTTTGGATAACGCCACTGTCCCGAAATGAGGGCCCACATGACATGACAAAACATGTGAAGCGGCGAACGGAACCGTTGATCTTTTCTACTGGCCAACCCATGAAACTAAGTGACCCGGACGGCATGTATGTGTGTGTATGTATATATATATATATACACATATATTGTTTCTCTGTGTCGGTATGTACACGCATACAACGATGCACATGCAGCAACTTAATCAATTTGTTCATTTTCGGGTTTCGAGAGAGCACCAGATGGAAGTACCAGATGCAAGTCGTGCAGGAACCGCATAGCGCGGGCGAGCTCCACCAGCAGCGTGGCTGCAAGAATGCCGGACATGACTTCAAGCTGCACGGCTTTGAGACGTCTAAGCCCGTGAACGACTTCGTGTGCGAGCGATTGTGTCAGTTTTAGGTATGCTGTCGCAGATGCATTGTGGCATGGCCATCATCCCAGTACAGCCGTGAGCTGCATTCTTTTGAGCCACAGCTGACTTGCTGCAATGCCAATTCAGGGGGGAGCACGGTGGTCTTGGACGAGCAGCTTGACTGGCTGTCTGGTGCAAGTAGCCGGCATTCTTAATGGTGATCTCAGGCTTGGCTCTCAGCTTGTGGCCGACTCAGAGGAGTGTGTTGCAGAAAGGGAAACGATGGCTGCCCGTCTTGTGTTGATCCGAGGATGCTGCATCTCGCCGTCGGTTCTGTGCAGGTGGGAGAGCTTATTCGGACTTATGATGACTTCTGGCTCAAGTGGCTGGCTGTAGCAAAGGCTTGTTGCTGCAGCCTCCGCAGGCCTGCGAAAGCTTCTGCAAAAGGGGCCACTATCGTTCAAGCGTGTGGTGGCCAGACACACAGCAAAGCCATGTGAAACAAGAACTTGCCCCATCTTGCTCTCTGCGCACTGAGGCCGCCACCTTGCACCCGGACATGGTGGATCTGCTGAGGCCACGGTGGATGCTGGACACCGCCTCTGCCACGCTCTGGCGGAGCCCAGCGGAACCTGAGATGGGCGAGGCCTCTGGGCCTCGGGCCTAGGCCTAGGCCTAGGCTGGGCTTTCAAACTCTCGCTGTGGGAGGAGAATTCAATCGAGCAACTGGGCGACAGCGAGATGCCACGCTTTGAGGCCGAGCAGGCACGGGGGCCTTCTACCGCTTTGCTGCATCACGTTTCTTCGCACGGGCCGGGTGCTGCTCCTTGCTGCATTGAGAATGAATATACAGCATGTATATATATATATATACACACACACACACACATATATATATATATATATATATATACGGAGGTGCATTTTTTTTTGGGATTTTTTTGATTCTTTTTTCAAGGGTTTGGGGCTTAGTTCTGTATTTTACTAGGAAGTACTCCATTTTCTTTTTATTTTAAGA